GTCTCAGATGCAGGATTAAGAAAAGCTTATTGAAATTTCCTCAGTGTATGAAAAGGATCCAGTTAAACCAGTTGTGTTATAATTGTTTATTCTACCAAGAAAACAATAAGCTCAAATTAAGTCTGCCTGTAAAATCCGACTGTTGCTTACATAAATTGTTACTTTTTTTCATTCCATTTTGATGATAATCTTAGATGTAACATAAGAGAGAGTAATATAAATGAGCAGGAATTACAGGTCAAACCTGATATCTGTTCTTCTAACAAAAATTCTCAATTGTCTTTGATTTAAAACAAAACATTTGTTTGAAAGAATTTCATTCCTAATTCCATAGGACAAAGGTTGGACAATTTGCGACAGTAGTAGACCATCAGTTGAACAGTAGAGGGTGCTAGAAACATAAAAACAGGTGGTATCAATGCAACATGTGGAACAAAGGAACAGAAAATGCACTTGGTTTGGTCATTTATTTTCCTTTTAACTAAACATTTGATTTGTATTAAATCTCTTTTGTTGATGTCTATTCAAATACAGCTATCATCATGAAAGGAGGCTACAACAGATTAAACACACATTGCTACAGATTTCTGCCTTCTGACGTTTTTCCAGAGGATTCTAGACAGATGTCACTTACAGTTTTTATTTCCAGGGAGGAACATGTAAAGTTTGCCTCCATCATCAGAGCAAAGGACTCGCTTTCCTAAAAGTGATCATGTAAGGAAGAGTGTGTGTCATGGAGGATCAAGAACGTGGCATAAACACTGAGTCTGGAGGTGAACAAATATAAATACATTTTATTTAATAAAAACAGAAAAAATAATAAATATGCTACACATGAAGCTTGACAAACCAAGACTAACCACCAGGAAAATGTAAACCAGCTAAACAAAAGGGTCTAATGAAGGAGAACCAGACACTGAATGAATGATGACTAAGAGATGGAAAAATTAGAACCAGGTGTGGTGAATGTAAACTCAAGAAATGAAGAGTGAACTGCACTTGTACAACACTTACCTAGGTCAGAGGACTTCAAAGCCCTTCACTACAGTGAATCATTCATCCATTCATTCACTGGTGGTGATGAGCTGCAGCCACAACCACAGACATGAATAAATAGATGCTCCATTGGGCGCTGGAGAGCGTAACAGCGTCACCACCATATTGGATGGGTCTCCTCACTCTCCAAACTCAACTGGAGTCAACACAGAGTGAGCAACTATGCCCCTGTTTTGTGTAGCCTACAGTTGCAACAACTGGCATACTTCCAAAATCAGATCATGTGGGATTACTATTGACTTTTCTAGCCTACCTGTTGCGATTTTATATTAAATGATTTTAATTAAATTCTTTTATATTTAAACTATCATACCATACATCATGTCAGATTTTGTGAAAAAGCATGATAAAATGTGTTTTTTAGTCAGGTAAACACCTTCCTCAGTAGAAATAAATGCACTGATGGCAGATGGCGGCTGGCCTCTAAAGCGGTGCCAGTCCACTGGGCGTCCAAGGCCCAATCCCAATACTCGCACTTACACACTTGCACCCTTCAATTGCGTGATCCCGACCACGGATGCGAGTGGGTAGGGTGTCCCGTTTCTCAAGTAAGTAAGTAAGTAAGTAAAAGTTTATTTGTATAGCGCCTTTCACAGATATAAATCACAAAGCGCTGTACAACATGATAAAGATCAGGGCAAATACCTCTAACCAATAAAAACATCCAAAAAACAATAGCAGTGATATACGTAGAAAATTAAATCATGAGTATAAACAAAGTGAAGGTGTTGATCACGCCACTTTTGCGCCCTTGATCCGAACTTCACCCAAGTCCGCATTGATGCGGTCTTGGATGAAGTGTATTACCCACAATCCATTGTTGCAGGAGAAAAGGCTCAAGTTCCTTTTTTGAACATATGTATTCTCAAACGAAATTAGTTTGTTTTAGGACGATTAGTTGATGCTCTAAAACTTTTAGACAAAGCAGCAACGAATGTAGAAATCATTCAAATAATTGTTGGATTGTTTGTTTGAAAGTTGTTAAAGTTTTTGTTTTTAAAGTATCGCAGCGACCAGCATCCCAACATGCGTTGCAACCGATAACAAAGTGCTCCTTGTCTCAATTCTACAATTATTTGCACACTTGTGTACCACGCACTTGAAGCCTTACACTACACTTTCTCCAAGTGCACTTTGCTGAAGACTACAGCAGAGAATTGGGACTGGGCCAAAGACAGAGGTGTACACAGGCACCCCTGATCCCTTTGAGCACCACCAGCAGGTATGAGGGTGAAGTGTCTTACCCAAGGACACAAAGTCTGAGCCTGGCACCTGGGCTTGAGCTGGAAACCCACTGGTTACAGGGCAAACTCCTAACCCTGAGCCACTGCCGTCCAAAGGGATGAAAGGGAAAGGCTCAAAATATCACAGAAAATAAAACTCATAAAACAAATGTCAAAACACAACAACAACAACCATGTCGTCTCCTAACAAAACAGAGCAACCTGAGGCTGATGGGTAGTCAAAGCCACCAGAGCGAAACACTAAAGCTTCAGATGTCTCTCGTGTCACGTCGTCCTCTCCATAGGTCAAGGCTGGAGCTTCTTCACATTCCAGACCATAAAGATAAACATACCAATCATCTAGAAAGTGACTGATGGCTTTAAAGGAGTGCGGTGAGACGTTTCATTTTACATCAACGCCTGTAGAGAACACACATCTGTATGACGGTCAAATGTAAACTCATTAGGAAGAGAGTAAAGCCAGTGAAGTTCACCAGCTGAGGCTTGATGTGTCACAGCTTCCTGTCCTATATTTAGGAAACAAATCATTAGTCATAATGATTCAAAGGACAAGATTTGTTTTTGGCAGAAGTCAACCACGCCAAAGAAAAGGAAAAACATTTACAGTCACACAGATTTTTTTTTTACCACGATCCAAATGACACGATGGCAGTGATAAAGAGTAAATCTGAAGAGGAAAACTGAAAATGTGACATTAAAATTTGTTGACACACATTATTAATGTAAAATATATTCTGTTGTATTTATTGTCCGGTTTTAGAATAGGGCACAAGAACACAATAACAAACAATATGATTACAGCAATAATGGATACGAACACATCCAACTAGACAGTTTAAACTTTGGAGATTTGCTTGGTGTTTAGAAGAAAATAAACAAAAGCTGTACTCTGGTTTCTTCAGATGAGAACTTTAACTTTTGTTTCAAAGGAATAAAGTAAAATAAAACAAAATAAATGGAACTCATTCTTGGTAAAATTCTATTTAATCGTTTATTGGTGAAGCTTCAATAACTTGTTTACTGATATTCAGATTCTGACCTAAACAGAACCGTGTAAATAAATAATCTCAGTTCCAGTTCAGTGATTCAACCAGAGACTTACACACATCTCTTCATCTGTGTTTGTTTAATTTCCTGTTTTATTTTTGAAAGGCTCGTCGTGTCTCACTTGTCTTCCTGTGCATGATTAACATCTGGATTCATTTGCCACTGACCAGCTGTTCAGTTTTCATCTTTTGACATTATAAATCCAATTCTGCACAGGACTTGTGGTGTTTTGTCGCTTTTTCTGTTTGGTTTTTTCTGAATTTTAGTTATTTATTTATTTTTTTGCTCGTCACTATGACAGGAGGAGGGCATCAGCAGAATCAGAGAGGAAGACTGACTTAAGCACGAAAGTCTGGCTGCTCCAAATGACTCCAGGTCTGAAACAAGCCTCAGGTGGAGGACATCAGTGGAATCACAACCACAGAACAAAAATAACTTAGTCTAACAAACCAGATTAACATCTATTGACAATCAAATGAAAAGGGATTGTCCATGGGATATTCTTGGATGTAAAACCGTACAAAAAAAGATGAAGGAAAGTTTTTTGCTCCCGGGGGCTGGCATGCTGGCGGACGACCAAGTTTATTTAGCTATTTTGGTTCCTCTCAGCTGTCACTTTTATGTTCCCCGGGGAATGTCTGCTGCCATCACCCCGCCAAGCAAACTCCATGTATTTAAGAGGGGCATGGGGGCTAGACTAAGTGGGGGAGGCAAACGTGAATGGGGGACAACAGGTGGGAGAGTTTTCAAATCTGTGACCACCCACCCAACACACCTTTGGGGTGAGGGGAATGCAGAGTGATCCAAGCCCGCAGATATCTGAGGCTGACAACAAAACAAAAAGGACGAAAACCTAAAAAGGCGCCAAAGTTTCTGATTCAGACGCTTTAGTTTAAAAGTTTATTTAAATGACAGATATGTTTTTCAGTTGTTTAACTTGCGCTTTGTCACTTCCTATACTTGAATTTCGAATATTAAAACACTTAAAAAACAGCGAGAAGCGTTCTGCCTCTGCTTCTAATTTTTACACAATGAACAAACTCATTACCGTCATATTTTAACTTGTGTTTATAGTCCTTCGTTTATGTGTCTGCCACTCACGTTTATGCCTGGCATTTCTGTTGCCCTTCGCAATAAACGCTGACAAACTGAATGTAAATATTCAGAATTCCAGTGGTTGCAACAGGAGTAAACATGTGTGAATAAATATGTGTACTTTTCTTCACCTTATTTATTTGCCATATTGCATTTTATTAACAAGATAAAAAATGTGGAAGAGAGAAGCCGATCACGTTTGCTGTACAGTACATGTCTTAACCCCCCCACCCCTGGTCATCACCTCTATGGGAAACTTTTAAATTTAACAGTAGGGCGTAGCAGAGCGGTGCACATACAGGGCCAGCCCTGCATCAGTTACAGTGAGTATGAAATATAGAATCGCAATGGACATCACAAACCAAAAATAAAGTCAGAGAGAGACCACGGCATCTTTCTGTAAGCAGATGGAGGTGGACAGAAAGAGGGAGGGGGGACAGTGTCCAACAGTCCAACTAAGCATCTATGTTCTGAATATCCTTATTAGTCCACGTGGGACTGCATAGTCCCCCAGCTATCAGGTTTACTTAATTCCAAGACTCCCGGGTCTATTTTTGATCTCCTGTAAGGCGATAGCTGTTCCGCCATTCTGTCTCCTTTGCTTTTGCCATCGGTTCATCGTGGACCTTCCTCTCTCACACACACTCTCTCTCTTTTATATCTCCATCCAAACTTGAAGCTGAGGCTAAAGATAGGCCGGCCTCCTTCCTATATAAGCTCCTGGGAATATACGAATACGCGGCTTCACACTATCATTTCTTTCTTGATCATCCAAACCTCCACTCAGAGATGGTGAGTACCAGGTCTTCTGCAGCCTGTGCTCCTGAGATGGAAGTACCGACAGGAGAACACCACCAACCTTACGGATTTACTTTTTTTTTTTAATTGTCTCAGTTTGATGGAAGTTTTAGGAACAAATGGAATTTTTCGTGATGCTGTTTTGGGTTGTTTGCCTTCCAATGAGTTGTCGTTGTTCACTCTGTTTTTATAGATTATGTCTAATTATGCAGGACTTTGTTGCTGAAAATAGACACATTATGAACTGAATACACTTTGTTTATATGTGAAGGTTGAGTTTGAATTATGATGGAGATCTCTCACAGCCTCCACCGTAGAGGGTTGGTCAGGCTGACCTGAAATGACAAAGATGGGTTTATGCCTATAAACACATGTAAAGACATTCTAATACTTTTTGGTCGCCTCTAGGCGTTGTTTTAACATAAAGAGACCGACCAGTGCCACCAAACCCTAAGAGGAATATTAATGTCTCTTGCGTGTTTTTGTCCTCCAGGCACCAAAGAAGGCCAAGAGGAGGGCAGCCGCAGGAGACGGCGGCTCCTCCAACGTGTTCTCCATGTTTGAGCAGAGCCAGATTCAGGAGTACAAAGAGGTGAGGTTGTCTTAAAACACAATGGCACATCCCTCCAGACTTTTCTCATTCCCCTGAAATAAACTGAATTCAACACCAGGAGGCTTTTAGACCAGAGAGGATTTCAAAATTAGTCTTCAGCAGCTCGGGATCAGTTTCTTCACCAGCTGCTCTCCCGCGTGACTCTGCTTGTCCCTGGATAGTTTTATTGGAATGCCAATGTTCTCAGGAGGATAGCTGAAATTTTGACACCATTTGACGCTCTCCATATTTTTGCTCACCTTTGACCTCTCGCTCAGCTGTTATTCAGACATCTCAAGGCACTTTCCTGAGCCTGGGAGGTTTCGCTGGATTTTAAGGCTCAACCGATGATTCATGGATGACGAGGACATCAGATGTTTTTCAATCTAAAAGTTTCAGACGCCTCTGAACAGATCCGATGAACAAAAATAAAAACACGAAGATAACGTTTAAGAGGGCTTTGTGACTTTAAGTTTACTGAGGTCAAGGAGACAGAATTTCACAAGGTTTTCTATCAATAGAAGGATAATGATTGTGTCTGAGTTATTAGTCTGTCGACCACAGAAATGCACCCCAAATGGAAAGCACGCCTCGTGTGATAAACGATACAGGCTTCTTGAGTGCCGCTTAGGGAAAGAACGATGAGATGATTAGGACGATCTTGGCATGTTCCACAGATGGAAAGATACCAGCCAGCAAGAAGTATTTGTAGCTAGTAGCTATCAGCTCAGGAGGAAAGCGTGTGTGTGTGTGTGGAAGCGGAGTTTAAATCCAAGAAGGTCTCTTAGGTTACACTGGCACATCGTCGATTGGACAGCTGTTCACTTATACTTTCCCAAATTAACTCCAACAAGACATCAAGACACCCCAGTAGCCTCGTGCCCCCCACCCCCCCACTCCTGAGCATGTTTGACTTTTTAGGTGCAGCTCGCACCGTATCCACTAACACATGTCCTTCGAACATGACTGTCAGACATCTTGTCCTGTTTGAATGACAGATTATCAACAGTGAACCAATAAAGAATTTAGATTTCTTTTCCGTTTTTTGCTCTTCCAGTAATGACTCTGTTGTTTCTTCTCAGGCTTTCACAATAATTGACCAGAACAGAGATGGCATCATCAGCAAAGACGACCTGAGGGACGTGCTGGCCTCCATGGGTGAGTTCTAGTGAAATAAATCCATTCCAGTATAGCGTGCGCAGTCATGTTTCATGGACTTTCAGTTTGAGGGAATTTCGGGGTTTTTTGTGTTTTAGGTCAACTGAATGTGAAGAATGAGGAGCTGGAGGCCATGATCAAGGAAGCCAGTGGTCCCATCAACTTCACCGTCTTCCTCACCATGTTTGGAGAGAAGCTGAAGGGTGGGCATTTAGTCTGTCCCTGTTAAATCATGAAAGGGCTCGTGAACGTGGGTTCAGTTAGGACTGAGTATGTGCCTGAGACGATGACCCATCTCCTCCTGTGTTTACCAGGTGCTGACCCCGAAGATGTCATTCTCGCTGCCTTCAAAGTCCTGGACCCAGAGGGTACTGGAACCATCAAGAAGGAATTGTAAGGACTTAAAAATGATGATGTGTACTACCCATGCACATAAAGAAGTAATAGATTTTTAACTTTGTGAATCTTTTGTCTTTTCCAGCCTGCAGGAGCTCCTGACCACTCAGTGCGACAGGTTCACCCCTGAAGATGTAAAGATCTATACATTATTCTTCAAAAATCACCTGTTGATGTAATAAAACGTAGAATTTTCCTCATTTATACAAACTAAACTTTTCACTTCCTCCCTTAGGTGAAGAACATGTGGGCCGCCTTCCCCCCAGATGTGGCTGGCAACGTAGACTACAAGAACATCTGCTACGTCATCACACACGGAGAGGAGAAGGAGGAGTAAAGAGAAAGACGGACGACAGGAAAGACAGCTATCCCTCTGCTTTCTGCCCTCCCTTTTTCTATCCTCTTCTTCCTTCCTGCTCACCTTCTGTGTACACCCATGAGCTCAGCCTCTCACGTTAAACCAAAGACTTGTCACGCCAACGCTCGAGACGGTTGACGCCCATGAGGAGTCTATGTTTGCTTATGGGGAATAGGGATGGTTTTTCAATAAAATTATCCTGTAACATCATTTCCAACTTCAACCTTTACTCACAACCTCTCTCCCCTTCTTTTTCATCCTCGTCTGCTGCATCACTTTAGCCTGTGAGGTGTTTGTGATGGAAACGTGTTCTTTCGCTTTCCTCTGTACGCGAGAGTGAAACGGGGCTCGCCAACTTGCGAGGACCTCATTCTAAAGTCTGAAGGCGCCCTCTTGGGTACAAGCGGTGAGAGGAGTGAGAGTACTGTCCGAAAAAAGTTGCATCCTTAAAGTGATGACAGCTGTCCTTCCTAGAAAAGTGAAAACAAGAGGCTGAAGGAATGGAGAGAAACGGGACGAAAGAAAACATTAAGTCTTCGATTTCTTTCCCTCCACTCCTTCCTGCTTTCAATAAATCACCTTTTTTCCATAAGCTGTCTCAAATTCAGTGACTTAACCTTCAATGCCTTTCCTCTGTAATGAATAAAAGGGACAAAATGTGAATAAAACCACTTTCCTTTTTGTACATTGTGTGCCTGTTCAGTGGCTCTGAGGGCAGGTTTAAGGGATTCCTGAAACTTTAGTTTTAGCTCAGAGATTAGGTTAAATCAAAGTTTAATCCATCTAAAAAGAACACTTTTACCTGGTTAAAAATACCGAAAACAATAAAAGTCCATCAACAGTTACATGGGGTGACGGTGGCACAGGAGTTAAGTGCTCGCCCCGTAATCGGAAGGTTTCAGGTTCGAGCCCCACTCAGTCTGTCGCTATCATTGTGTCCTTGGGCAAGACACTTAACCCACGTTGCCTGCTGATGGTGGTCGGAGGGACCGGTGGCGCCAGTGCTCGGCAGCCTCGCCTCTGTCAGTGCGCCCCAGGGCAGCTGTGGCTACATTGTAGCTCATCCCCACCAGTGTGTGAATGTGTGTGTGAATGGGTGAATGACTGATTGTGTTGTAAAGCACCTTGGGGGGTTCCAGGACTCTAGAAGGCGCTATATCAAATACAGGCCATTTACCATTTATAATATAGACCTGCGTTATAAAGAAGTCACATAATCTGATAAAAAGGTTAGTTTTCAGTTTGAGCCTAGAGGTCCTCAGCAAACCGATCACCACCTCAAGAAGACAAAAACACAGGAGGATGTAATATATTACAGTTTATTACTCATCACAATTGTCATTAATTATAAATACATCAGTCTGAATGAATTAATTAATTTAGCTACGATTTTACTCCACTTTTGCCAGAGACGTAAACTCAAAAAACACAAAAGACATAACGGCATGGGCAGAAATCGTTGATGCAATTTTTTTTATTGAACTTGCACTGATGAAACTATTCCCAAATCAAGTGACACAAAGAACTGCTTTATTGCAGAAACGTTGCAGAGCTAAGTGCCGCATCTGCAACGAGTGTCAGACTCATTCCATCATCCAGCTCTCCCAACAAAGAAATGGACTAGAAAGGCCTATTATTGAAGCATGAGCTGTGGTGAAGCAACGTTCATGGAACATCAAACTCCACGGGCCTTAAAGTCGGAAATCTGAAGCACACAATTGGGTTTTTTTTTTCATGGCGCAACTCTGGTTTAATCAGTGCTGCTGTAACCACAGACATGAACAGTCGTAATGAAGAAGAGTTTGCATAGATGTGTTTGGATTACACACATGAGCACATGACTGTGATGGCGTTTAAATAGAGAGGGGAGTGTGTGAGACACATGGAGAGAGGACGCATCGATGTTAAGGCCTGAAACAAGTGGAAAAACAAAGTATGTGAAGGAAGCGTTGACTACAGTTACTTGAGCCTCACTAATTATCGACTACGTAACGGTACGGTTAAAGAGAATCAGTGCTTTGCTTTTTTCTCTGTTTCCACCGAATGATTTCACACTAACTAACAAACTAACTAACCAACACTATTCACGCTATACTGATGGGGTTCGGCATTGAATGCGCAACAATATGTTACAGTATGCAACACGGAGTGTAAAGAGATAAGAGTTGGGTCATAAGTTGTTATAAATGTTAGAACACAAACAGGTGAGACAGAAACACTGAAGATCTCGAAGTTCATGAATGACTTCTTAGTATATGATACCGTAAAATACCTGTTCTGTTGCAGGCCTGCTTTCCACTCGAGGATTTTTAATACTGTAGCTCAACAAACAGGAGTCTTGTGAACAAAATTTGACCCAAAAATAACTTAAAGCGAGGACATGCAATGAGTTTGGAGTGTAAAAGCAGAGGATGCCGTGCAAAAATCCCAACTAATCCTTCTGCAAACACACACTTTGTTCCAGTCCGCCAGGTGTCTCTCACTCGTATAGAAAAATAGATGAAAATAATAATAGTAATTCATAATATACTATATTTGATTAAATTAACCACTTTGTACATAGATACAGAAAAGCCTGCAGGTTACAGATCAGAGGTTAATGCTACACCTGGCACCTCCACTCAAGTGGCTTCCTATAGGTCCTAATGCAAAAAGCTGAAATGCAGGTTTTTTTCTTCTTAAATCACCACAGTAATAAGCATCAGTGGTGAAAGTGCAAAATCCTTCATTTTTTAAGATACTCACAACCACACTCTGATGAGTTTTTATCCATACTGAAATTTGACTAAGTGAAATGCATAAACTACAAATGACCACTAGTTTTAGAGAACGACGTTTAGTTGTGCAGAAATGTTGGTTTTGCGGTAAATTATTATAATTTCTGCTTCGTGTTTTAAATTAAATCCAAGACATAAAAAAAAACCAAGTGAAAACAATACCTGCTCCTTTTCTGTCCCACAGGAAATAATAAAAAATATCCTAAAACTAAACATCCAAAAATGATCTATACCATGTGTTGCCTGCGTGTTTTTACCCTCAACACCTTCCTCCTTTTGTCTCCACCTCGGTCTTAACCCATCATGTCCTCTGATGGCAGAACCAAGGTTTGGGAAGAACCACTGAAAGGGTTCCCGAAGTTTGAAATGACGCGAACTAAAGCAAACAGAAAGGAACCGCACATAGAACATTTACACAGTTCACTACACTACTAAGGCACACACTCACAACAGTTACCAAGACAATAAATACATCCTCAACATCATAGCAAGCGTTTCAGTCTTCAGTGCTGAGATTTGAGATAACTTCCACCCAAAAATCCAGTTAAGCTGTAAACAGATGAGGCCTGATGGATCCGAATGCTGCAGCTCGACGTCTAATTTACATCACCTATGGCACAAATACTACAAATGGTTGGCTTATGGTCTCTTGCATTTAAGTTTCTTTACGGACTGCTACTCATTCGATTGAAGTAACAATGAAAAATGAAGAAAAAAAGCCCGCTGTCCGACTGAACTTCCGCTTAAATGTGTATTTAACCCAATTACAGACAAACTACGTGAGGGGAGGGGGAAAAGAAAAACCAATGGACGAGAGGCAAAATGCCGCTCCAAGTGCTTTTAAAACCATAATCCAGTCTTGTCCATCATAGTCCCTAACCTATATTAAGCACCATACACAGCCATCCCATCTTCGTTGTTTTACTCTGTTTCTGCAGGTCTTTTGTTCCATTGACCTCCATCTCCTTGCGACTCCCTTTGTGTTTATCCTGGAATGAAGGAGTACAAAACTAGGCCGAATCTTTTGCTGCTGCAGCTCCATTTTTGTCCTCCACCTCTCCTCCCCCCTTGTCTTTTTTCTTTCCCCCTCTCTTTTTCTCTTTTTCCTGCCTCTCCTTCTCTCTCTTGAGCCGCTCCTTCTCAGCCTTGTCTTTCTCCTTCTTCTCTTTCAGTTTCTTCTTCTCGTCTTCCTTTTCTTTCTTCTTGTCGTCTTTGCTTTTCTTCTTCTTCTTTCCGTCTTCCTCTCCAGATGCTGCTGGTGAGCTTTCCTTCTGTGGCTCTGGACACGGCTGCAGGGGGGCGTTGTTGGCAGTAGGAGAAGGGATGGTGGGAGTGATCTGCTCTGAAACGACCTTAGGGGAGGGGGCCAGCATGTTGGGTGGGGGGGGGTTCTGCGCAGGAGGTGATGAAGCAGGCTGGATCTGTGATGAGGGGTCCTCTGCAGCTGGAGGGGGACCAGGGGACGACCCAACTGCACTTGCAACCAAAGGACTTTGAACATGGGTTGCTGTTGGCTTCAGACCTGCGCTCGGAGGAATGGGAGGTTTCTGCTGTGGGCCTCGGCTCGAAATGGAGGTGACTGCAGGTGGAGAGAAGGGTGGAAGGCCCTCTACTCCTGAGGGCCCTGAAAAGGAGCCTTTTTTAGTTTGGGGGAAGAAAGGAGCCTTAGACTTACGGAAACCAGGAAGTGAAAGAAGGCTGGAGGAAGCCCTGAGGGGTCCTGGAGGTGGGACACCTGAACTTCCAAGGAAAGAGAGGCTGCCACCAGAGCTGATGGAGGCAGCGCGCCGCTTGTGCTCAAAGATAGCTCTTGTGCCGTGGAGGCGACGGCCCGGCTGATGCATCAGTTCCCCTCTAGACTCTCTCCATTTTCTCACCTGGATGCTACACTCCCTCTCGATGAGCGCCTCGGTCACTGGGAGCGTTATGACCTGGACATCGGGCAACAAAAAAAAAGCAGTTTCGCAAAACAGGAAGTGAAGAGTATTAGACTGGCTACTGGGTGGCTCATAACGTGTGTGTGTGTGTGTGTGTGTGTGCGTGCGTGCGTGCGTGTGTGTGTGTGTGTGTATCAAATCAGAAGCGAGATCTGTCTGTTCACCAATGAACTTCGCAGGTCAGAGAGCCTCACCTCCTGTACCAGTACGTCCTCTCGGATAGAATCGGGTGAGATGTTTCGGAGACGCTCCATGGTCTCATACATGCCCTGAAGTTCTCGAAGTTTATCCACAGCGCCGAGCATCTGTCTCAGTAGCACCAGGCCAACGCGAAATACTATCTTGACCCCTAAAACCAGAAGTTCAGTAGCAGATTTTTGTCAAACTGCAAAAAATATTCACAAGGGGAACAAATCAGAAAATTCGCACAGGTCTGCAGGCAAAGTGGTCTTGTGCATGACAAGTGACCCTACCTTCACAGAAAAACATGTCCCATACACGCAGGACACAGGACCAGGGTAGCGTGCGTGAGAAGATGCACATGAACCACTCGGTCATGTACAGAATGGGATCTATCTTGAATTTCTTTAGATGGCGATAAGCCATTGGACATGTACGCCGCAGAAGAGAGAAGAAGATCTCTCCATCCAGCTGAATCGCTTCCTGAAAATTTAAAACCGCATGTTGGTAAGCACGAACAGCCCTAAGACACCCCCCACCCTCGTGTTTACTGACTCACCAGTCCGGCGCTGTAGTAACCAGGAAGGTACTTCTCACAAATCTGAACGAGGCACCAAAAGGCTTGCTGTAAAACAACCAAATTAAAAGGAGAACATTTACATAAACACTGCCTAACGATGACATCATCACCTAATACTCTACTTTTAGTTCAGGCCAAAACCACAATTAAAAGAGCAGCTATTTCAGAACTTCCTACCACAGAACAAAGAAATGTCACCCAGAGCACACCTCTGACTCACAGCTTATACATTTGGACTGGTTTGATCGTGCTTTTGCATATGACCTGCTTTTTCTATTTCTGAGTTTGTTCAGTTGTGTTACCTTTTCTCACCCTGCCCCCTCTCATCTGCCGTCAGCCGAGTAGGCGTAACAATTACACCCAACGTTTGCGACTGAATGACCATAACTCATCTTTGTGCGGGTGCTTTGGTCTGATACTGTTTGACATACGACATCATCTTGATGACTGACACATTTTTGGGGATAAAAAAGGTCAATTGGAGCACCACAGGGGACTGTACTCTCACCATTCCTTTTCACCCTGTACACCTCAGACTTCCAGTACAAATCAGAGACCTGTCATCTACAGAAATACTCAGATGACTCTGCAGTTGTCGGGTGTATCAGAGATGGACAGGAAGCTGAGTACAGAGAGCTGGTGGAGCGCTTTGTGGCATGGTGTGGAAACAATCATCTGACCTTGAATTTGAACAAAACAAAGGAGATGATTTTAGACTTAAGAAACAGGGTGGAGTCAAACACTGTTTCCATCATGGGAGAAGAAGTGGAGGTGGTTGAGGAATACAAATACCTTGGAGTTCACCTGGACAACAGACTGGACTGGAGAAAGAACAGCCAAGCTGTTTACAAGAAGGGACACAGCAGACTGCACTTCTTGAGGACGCTTAGGTCCTTCAATGTTTGTAGCAAGATGCTGCAGATGATGTGGTTCTGTTGGCTTCATCAGAAAGTGATCTCCAGCTTTCGCTGGAGCGGTTCGCAGCCGAGTGTGAAGCAGCTGGGATGAGAATCAGCTCCTCTAAATACGAGACCATGGTCTTGAGTTGAAAAGGGCAGAATGCCTTCTCCGGGTCAGGGACGAGTTTAAGTATCTCGGGGTCTTGTTCACGAGTGAGGGAAAGATGGAGTGAGACTGATAGGTGCTGCGTCTGCAGTGATGCAGGTGTTGTATCGGTCTGTCGTGAAGAGAGAGCTGAGCCGGAAGGTGAAGCTCTCGATTTACCGGTCAATCTACGTTCCTACCCTCACCTATGGTCACGAGCTTTGGGTAGTGACTGAAAGAACAAGGTCATGGATACACACGGCTGAAGTGAGTTTTCGCCGCAGGGTGGCTGGGCTCTCCCTTAGAGATAGGGTGAGAAGCTCGGCCATCCGGGAGGGGCTTAAAGTAGATCGGCTGCTCCTCAACATCGAGAAGAGCCAGCTGAGGTGGCTTGAACATGGATGGATGATGAAGATGCTAACTCAATGCAGAAATGCTACAGCTGGGATTTAAACCAGCAACCTTCTTACTGCAAGGGAACGGTGCTACCAACTGTGGCACCATGCAGCTCGTAAAGTAAGATGTCACTATTATTTTTGGTAATTCTGATGCACTCATGGTAGCAATCCTGGACGGCACTTGGTAAACTAGTCAGACATTTGCAGAACTATATCATTTACCACGTAACCTGAAGAGAACCCCTCACCTCTGCAGGCATGTGCATGAGCAGCACTGCAGCCACTGGAGCCTGGGCCTGGCAGTAGCCCTCGTCAGGCCGGTACACGGTGTAGGCCTTCAGGATACGGTACAGATCCTGTTGTCTGCAGGAATAAGCATCAAAATTACCCAGTGGACAACATGAGACACTCTCTGTCAGTATGTGTCTAAACATAAAAACTAAATTATAAACAAGCATATTTTCTTTCATCGAGTTCCTCGGTTGTTTCAGCATTACCATTGTGCAGAAAACCCAGAGGTATTACTTTTCATCCCATCATATTTACAAATGGTGTGTGGGAAGTTTTACCCATGACCGCCACGGGCAGCAAACATCTCATGAAAGGGGAACTGCCTGTGAAGATCCTTCTCGATAATATCCAGCCATTTGGCCTCACCCGGCGCTCTCTCTAGTTCCTGAAGCGACAAATAGGAAAGTGCGTTTCAGACGGATTCCTACAGATCGGTGGAGTCGCCTTTAAATAACATAAATAGCCATTAAAATGAATGATGCAGTAAAACTCATTGAGAAAGTAAAATGACAGTTTAAAGAATCGATTACAATGTAAAAACTGCAAAAGATTCTGTGTATTACGTAAACAAAGGACAGAAGGCCCAGCCGAGACGCTGATAGGGTGGATTACAGATCCCGATAAGAGGCTTACAGCTTATTTGGTCTGCTCCTGCAGCCCTTAAGACAAGATCACCCAACTCAACCCCAAATTCCCCCCACAGTGGCCTCTACTTGCAGCCAGTTCACCAGAAATGTTGCAGCTCACTCAATGTTCCAAAGAAATACAAGAAAATATTCAAGCCAGGAAGGGAAAAAAAAGATCTGCCTTCTTTTGCGTAGCTTGTTTTGAACAGAACAGAGTTGCTGAGTGAAACAGCTCTGGTTCCGCAACCTTACATCAAATTTCCCAGGGTTGGCCTCAAGAAGCTCCTGGCTGTTGGACAACAGCTGCCAGGCTTTGGCTCTAAGGGAAGATGGAATCCCCTTCCTGCAGCGCAGCTTCACCTGCAACACACGGATGCATTTAGCATTAGCAAACACCTCAGCTCAGGCTAAACCAATCAGTCGGGTTTTCAGGCACACAGAAAGAATCCAGCGTGGTGCATACCTTCATGAAGCGGTGTTTGACCCACTTATCCCAGTGACAGAACATATCGAGCCATTTCATCTCCCTCTGCCTGGCAACCTCAACTCGAACGTCCTTGTCACTGCAACAGACTTTATTACTGACATCATACTCCTGCATCTTTAAACATCGCACTTAGAGAGCCGTAATGACAACACGAAGGTTTACATGACTTTCTCTCCAAGTCATCATTGTGCCGAGTTGCTTTAAGAAAAAAAAAAAAGAGGATTCTAAGCAGAGACCAGAACTCACGATGAATCAATAAAGTCTTAATTATTTATCTGTCCAAGTGCAACTAGCCTGTCAGATAAACAGTCTGACGAAAATAGGAAGAAAGCTGATGGGTGTGTGTGTGTGTGTGTGTGTGTGAGGTACTTCAGACACACACACACAGTCAGTACATACTGAGTCACAAAGAGCCCTCAGCATTATCTGAGTCAGACCAAGGGGAGTTAAAGGACAGACAGATATGTTTTAGTGCAGCAGAGAGAAGGGATTGGCACACAAGGATGACCTCTTCGAGTCAGATCCTGCAACCCAACCTATTTAAATTAAAACAAACCCCAACAGCCACACCTAATATGTCATTCAGAGAAAAAGAAACACAGAAAAACAACAGAAAATTCTCAGCATTTTTGTCTGACAACAGGGAGTGAGTGGTTAGTTGATGCTACATGACTTACCCTCCTTCACTGTACTGGTTCCCACCCAGGAAGCCATATTTATCAGTGCGTTTGATAGTCAGACCATTAATTTCTGAATCTGATCCCACAGAGCTCCCATCTTCTCCCAATCCAGACAGGGACTCAAACGTTCCCGACATCATGCTAGCTGATTCCAGATAGCTGAGGTTGTCCAAGGCTGGCTTTCGGTTGGGGTTTAGTAGGGGGATCGTTGGCTCGTGGACCAGAAGGACAGTAGGGCTTGATTGCCCAGCTCTGGTGGGTGTTGTGGGAGCATCAGGCTTTGGGGACAAAGGAGGAGGCCCAACTTGAGGATTTTGTGCTTGTTTAAGGAGCTGAGGTTCCTCCTCATCGGCTCCTGCTGCTGAAGGAGCAGGTGTGGGTGCAGAGTCTGCACTCCTTTGGGTCTGACTCACTGTATCTGGACTATCACCCATCCCAAGGTTTGGATTATAGCTGGCCTCTTGGTTAGGACCTGGACTTGGATCAGGAGGCCGAGATGCCTGCAGCTCAGTTTTTTGAGCAGAGGTTGCCAGTTCTGAGGTTTCAGCTCCAGTGCTCAAGATTTCTGCAACAGCTCGGTCACTGGTCTTCTGCTTAATGACGCTCACTCCAGTCACTTCTTCATTCTCCAATGACTCTTGTGTTTCAGACGCAGAGATCTGTAACAATGATCGTGGGGTTGTCTCACAGGGAACTTTTGGGGGACTTCTGGTCTGGTTGAGAGTCAAGGGTGAACCTCCTGCGAACGTAGCATGAGTGTTTCCAGTCAAAGTGTTGTCACCGTAGAGGGAAGACTTGGGCAAAGGTGTTCCTTTGATAGACTCAGAAGCAAGGTTGGTGGTAGCAGACAGCACTGATGCAGATGGAGAAAAGGGTGCAGCTGCATGAGTGTCCCCCAGTGGAGGGGGAGATGGAGACAAGGTGGACAGCTCAGCCATTGTTCCACTCTGATCTCTAATTTGCAAAGTGAAAAAAGGGTGGTTTTATTAGAAAACAGTGAGAATGTTTATTCAGTCATAATGACAGCAGTAAAAAAAATATGTTGAATAATCTCAACATAAAAAGTCATAAACAGTAAGTAAAGCAGTAATAGATGGTTTTTCTGTGGATTGGTTTAATACATATAATATACATATAGTTAAAGAGATCAAGGAGACATTGTATATGTCGAATAGTTTATAAAGCATTAGACAACAGGGGCTGCTCTAAAAGGCAATATATTATAATATAATAAAATATAATATAATATATTTTAATATATTATAATATAATATAATATAAATGATCAAATACTCCAGTGGAAATAAAAAGTTGTTTGGGAAAAGAATGAGTTTAATCAGACTATTTATAATCAAGCTTTTTTTTGTATATACATGTGTATATGTATATACATACCTACATAAAACTAATCTTAGATACACATGTGTTGTTCAGGCTATATTTCCTCTTTTATGAGAGAATTATTTGGTGAAATTGCAAAGTCACTAAGACAAAATGACCTTTTCAATCATAAAGATTGAACTTTACCAACCACTAAAACACGTTAAAGGGCAAGTCACTCCCTACCAGAGTATTACTCTGGTACTCCCACATCCTGGTTGAAAAATGCAACAAATGCTGTTGCCTAGAAGACCGAGAGGGTGGAGCCGCTAACACACACACACACACACACACACACACACACACACACACACACACACACACACACACACACATTGTGACATCATATGGTACCAGCTAATGTTCTAGGGTACCTCTTAGCCAATAGCAATGGCAGATATAAATTCAAATGCAGCGCAGAGATTTTACCTGACAACGGCACAACACTGACAGTTTTAGGCAGAAAATTAAAATTTTAACTAAAATGTACTAAAGTGCAAAGCTATTGACTACATGTGTCTGCAACCTAATTTGATACGCATTTATATAGTTTATCAGGAAAAAAAAGTTGATTTGGGGGTGACTTGCTCTTTAACTAGTCAGAATTTACTACAAAAAGTGACCACAACGACATAAAACGCGTTCCTCGTGGTTTGTGCATCAGCGCAAATCAACAAAGCCTGGGTGATCCAGACAGTACTTTGCTGATAAAGCAGGTTGGTGTTTGTAGTGGTTAACCTGGGTGGCTATTCCGCTTCTGTAGCAGCGAAAAGCAAAACACTCTTTATATTTATCATATCTACAGGCCGAAGCGACTCAACTTCCCGATTCAGGACTAATGGTTTACTAACAGCAGATTGCTGACACCCTCATTGCCTGACAAGGCCCCGGCGGTGAGGCGTTCACGGCCTCTCCCTGCCCACTGCCCTGGTCAACAACTTCATCTCCGCTTCTGAACTCACCAACAACCGGCGTGTCACTGCGATCCGTCCGCCTGGATAGCCAGGGGGTTCCTGTAGGCACGGGCCCCCGCCACAGCTCTGGTTCCGCAACCTCCTCTGTTTGACGAGAACGTGACAGAGCTACAACAAGACAGGAACCGCTGAACGGGGTGAGCAGTTAAGAGCAAACGTCCTGCAATCGGTAAGCTAAGTTAGCTTGTTTTAGCCAAATATTAGCATCAGCTTTGTTAGTGTTGTTTCAGTCACATAAACGCACTTGCAGCAGTCATTCTCGCCCAATCAAAACAAACTACTTAGAACAACCTTTCATCCTGAACCGAAACGAATCTATGTCATTATTTTATCCCAATAGCCGCATGAGCTCATCCTAAGCGAACAGCTTGCATTTCCTACTGACAGCTACGTGCGCGTTCTCGTCGTCCTTGTCGGGCACGCACACGTACAGTGTGGGAGCCTCCCTTTCCTTCAGCTCAAACTTGTAACACACTGTTCTATGTTTTGTTGTTGTTGTTGTTGTTTTCATTTAGGCGTTTTTATTGATCTAAAAAAGCTTTTGATACCACAGACCATTCTATTTTAATTAATCCTTGTGGCCACCCATTAAGGGTGACACTGGCCGTGAGCCATAATCATGACGATTATTACAAATAAAGGTGTCAGGTATTGTAATGAGTCTGTCTCATTTATCAGTTTCACCTTTTAAGTTGAATTACTGGCAAAAATGAACGTTTGCATCATATGCTAACTTTTGGAGGTTCGCCTGTAAACGGTAGACTTTGTTTTTATTGAGTAAAGCTACAGAATGCAGCTTTTTAAACATGTAATTCTCATTAAAAGTACAAGAAAGTCATGATCATCATGGAAATTAGTAAGTTCATTCTATATGTATAGCACTCATCACAGACAGAAAATCACAAAGTGCATCACATACATCAAACCAAAACAAAGTATAAAGACATAAAATTATAATGAGCTTGAAACAGAAATAAATTTAAATTAGAACAGCAAGTCATAAAAATTTTAAATACCATAAAACAAATGAAAGATTATTACACATTTGAGTGAAAAAACTCAGAAATAGAATATTTTGGTAAAAGCAGCTTTAACGAAAAGGTCTTCAGCTGTTTTTTAAAAGTGTCCAGACTGTCAGTGCCACGTAAGGATAAAGGAAGATTATTCCAAAGTCAAGGTGCAACAGTCTGGAAGGAGCGATCATCTTGATTTTTATATCTGGTCTCGTCAATGTGTGTGTGTGTGTGTGTGTGTGTGTGTGTGTGTGTGTGTGTGTGTGTGTGTGTGTGTGTGTGTGTGTGTGTGTGTGTGTGTGTGTGTGTGTGTGTGTGTGTGTGTGTGTGTGTGTGTGTTTACTGGTCTATACATCAAAGTGGGGACTAAACAAGTTTTTTATACATGCAAACTGAGGACATTAGCAAAGTGAGGACATTTTGATGGTCCTCACTTTGAGACAATGTCACAGAGCTCTACTGGTTACCTTTAGAGGTATGGTGGGAATTAAGTTTTTGTTAAGGTTAGGGTTAGGAGTAGACTGGTTAGGGTTAGAGTTAGACACAATCACTAAAATGAATGGAATTCGATGACGGTCCTAACAACGAATGCTAGACTAGTGTGTGTGTTGATATATAATGTGTATGTATGTGTGTGTGTGTGTGTGTGTGTGTGTGTGTGTGTGTGTGTGTGTGTGTGTGTGTGTATGTGTGTGTGTGTGTGTGTGTGTGTGTGTGTGTGTGTATGTGTGTGTGTGTGTGTGTGTGTGTGTGTGTGTGTGTGTGTGTGTGTGTGTGTGTGTGTTTGCACGCAGACAAGGTGGCTGAATCTTATTTCAGTCAAACAATGCTCTTTTCTTTACAGATTAAAAATTTTAATTGACCATAAAGAGGTCAATTAGGGTGTGAAAACTTTTATAACCGCTAGATGGAGCAACTCTCCTGGTGAAAACGTTTTCAGCTTGGTGATCTAAACAGTTTTTTTTTTTTGTTGTGTGTGTGTCTTATTTACAGGTCTTGAGAGGACATTGCAGAGATAGTTTTATGGAATTATGAGCAATTGTTAGAAAAAAATAGAATACAATAGATGTGTGTGTGTGTGTGTGTGTGTGTGTGTGTGTGTGTGTGTGTGTGTGTGTGTGTGTGTGTGTGTGTGTGTGTGTGTGTGTGTGTGTGTGTGTGTGTGTGTGTGTGTGTGTAATCCTGCCCCATGTGGGTGTAGGATTGCAATTTGTTTTTTACAAAAGTATGGTTGCTTTGAGAAATACTGTTTTTAAGGGTATTAAGCGGGTTGTCCAGTAATCGGAAGGCTGCAGGTTGGATCCCGGCTCCGAACAGAGAAATCTGCTGTTATGTCCTTGGGCAAGACACTTAACCCACCTCGCCCGCTGGAGGTGGTCGGAGGGACCGGTAGCGCCTGTGCTCGGCTGCCTACCTCTGTCAATTTGCCCCAGGGCAGCTGTGGCTGCATTGTAGCTCATTAACCAACAGTGTGTGGATGAATGGATTAATGATATACTGTAGTAGGGCTGGGCAATATGGCTTCAAATGAATATCACGGTATATTGAAGAGTTCAATAACAATAAATAGACGATAACTACATGTATGCGCAAAAACAAAAGTTGTCCACTAGATGGGGCTGTCAAGTGTATTACGTTCAGTCACTGTTGTGTGACTCAAGGTGGTACAGCTTCTTAAAGTGACATGAATGTTGCCAACCTACACACATCTTTACATTTTTTTTATTACCAAGATTATTGACTTTGGCGCTATACAAATAAACTTGAATTGAATTGGCGGATTGGTGCCACATCTGCAGTGATGCGGGCGTTGTACTGATCTGTTGTGGTAAAGAGAGAGCTGAGCTAGAAAGTGAAGCTCTCCATTTACTGGTTTGATCTTTGTTCCTACCCTCACCTATGGTCACGAGCTTCGGATAGTTACTGAAAGAATGAGATCGCGGATACAAGTGGCTGAAATGAGTTTTCTCCACAGGGTGTCTTGGCTCTTCCTTAGAAATAGAATGAGAAGCTCGGTCATCAGGAAGAGGCTCGGAGTAGATCCGCTGCTCCTCCACATCAAGAAGAGCCAGTTGAGGTGGCTTGGGCATCTGATTAGGACGCCTCCCTGGTGAGGTTTTCTGGGCACGTCCAACAGGGATGAGGCCTAAAGAGAGATGCAGGACATGCTGGAGGAATATGTCTCTCGCCTGGCCAGGGAATGCCTTGGGGTTCCCCCAGAGTAGCTGGCCCAATTGGCTGGGGAGAGGGAAGTCTAGGCCTCTCGACTTAGGCTGTTGCCCCCTCGACCCAACTCCGGATAAGCAGAAGAGGGTGAATGAATGAATGGATGGATGGATGGATGGATGGATGGATGGATGAATGGATGGATGGATGGATGGACAATGAGAAAAAATACTGCATAAATATTTCAAAGATTCAAAATACTTAAAGATTAAAAATCAAAATACTGAATAAATAAAAATTTTAAGAAATAAAAAAATGAAAATACTGTGTGGAAAAGGATAGTAGACTATTTTAAGGGAATGGGAGCATTAATGGAAAACTGCAAAATGCAACATTGAATAGGTGCAGGTAGAATGACAACATAAAATGTGTAAATTAAAAAAAACTGCTGGGATGAAGGGATGCAAAAGAGATTGTGTAGGGGTTTTGTTGGGAGCAAATTCTAACAGCTGCTGAGAGGAAGGACCCATGGATATGTTCCTTTGTGCACCTGGGATGCCCTCTTCTCTGTAGCAGATGAGCTGCTGCTCCAACAAACCACACCATTAAAGATGGCTGATGCCACCACTCCTAATGTCTTCAGTCTCCTCAGCAGGTAGAGTGTGCTCTGACCCTTCCTGAAAAGAGTATTAGTGTTATGGCTCCTGTCAAATTTTTGTTCAGTTGAACACCCAGGTACCCATGAAAGTCCACAAACTCTATGTCCGTTCACTGGATGTTCACTGGATGTTCACTGGTACCAAAGCAGAAGGGTCTGCGTCTGCTGGAATCCACCACCAGCTCCTTTGTTTTCCCTGTGTTGATCTGGTTCTGCTGACATCAGTCCTAAAACCCTGAGTCCTCTGTCTGTACTCTGAGTCATTGTAACCTGTGATTAGGCGATCAATGTAGACAACAAAAAATGTCCATCATTATTATTAATGTGCAGCACTGCACCAAATGTTAAACTCACTTCTAATTTCTTCATACTTTGCATTCTAAAGAGCAAACTTACATGTAATCTCTTAACATGGTCTTGATGAATGGTTCTTCATTGTTTCTGGAGGACTTTAAAGGTGTGGGAAACTCATTTAATAAATCTATTTGCAGTGGTCCCTGGTAGGAATGAATGCCTTGCAAGACACACTCAGGGCAAAAAAAGTCCAGACTGTCTTGCATCAGCACAGACAAGACTGCTGTCACACAGAGTGGCAGCAGACACGGACATATTATATGTAGACGTGATGTGTATTGACATGGACTGGCGTAGCAGTGAGCCGCCATCTTGGATGGGTTCTCATTCGCAACCAGTTCATTTATTTCAACTGAGGAAGGTGAAAACACATTGTATTATGCTTTTCCACAAAATCAAACATATGGTGTAGCATGACAGTTGAAATATAAATATAATAAAACAAATTAAAATAAATTAAAATGTAAAATCTAAACAGGTAGACTGGAAAAGTCAATAATCCCACATGATGTTTTCAGTTGAATGTCAGTTGTTGCAACCGTAGGCTGCACAAAAACGGACATAGTTGCATTGGCTCCAGTTAGGTTTGGAGAGTGAGGAGACCCATCCAATATGGCGGCAACTCTGTTACATCATAAATGTCATGTCTATGGCTGCAGACAGCAGGAATTGAAGTATTATTTTGGCACATTTGGACATCTTGCCTCCGATTGGATAACAGCAACGCGACTCCACCACTCAGTCTGTTTGCTCTGCAACATTGATGTTACAGTGTGACGTAGATCTGTCAGGATTGTCCAATCAAAGTTTCTCCATCTATTTTCTATCAGAAGCTAATGCAGGAGATAGGTGTAGGAGATTATCTACATGTTTAGCCTGCATGAAAAACACAGTGACCAATGGCAAGCCCAAAAATGTCATCTATAGTGGATGAACAGCATTATTATTTGAAGGAACACTAAAAATCAGGATGTGAAAGATACATTTTCTTTCATTTGATCATCCACAGTGTGTTTAGCCAATAGCTCTTTGGGAATCAACTTGTTGGTGCTTGAATACTACTATTTCATACCTGTCACAGTTTTATCATATTTGTATGTAAGACAATAAACAAAAGGGAACCAAGAACAGTTTTCTGACAGGCTGCTGGTGTCACACCCTGTCCTGTCTCCCCATTTGGTTCAGCCTGTGTCTCTGTTGATTGCTCCCACCTGCCTCTCGTTTCCCAATCACCCAAGCTCCCTGCCCTCCTGTATTTAACCCCCTCCAGTTCTGTGTTTCGTGTTGCCTCATTGTTTCCATGTCCTGCATGCGTGAATCATTAAAACCCTTTAAGTTTTCCTGTTTGTCTGCCTGCCTGCTTCCTCCCCAGTATTTGGATCCTCACCCCCGCTCCACTCACCAGTGCGTCCTGACAGCTGGTAATAAATGTCCTGAGTATACTGTTGGTGTTGACTCAATCTTGGCTCATGCGACAACTTTTGAGTTTTTTTTGTCTGAATGGTTTAAAGAGCAGAGCTCCAGGGCTTAGCAAAACAAAATATCTGGGAATCCCCCCCTAAAGAAAGCTAGACAGCCTAAATCACCTTGAAAAGCTTAAGAAATTATTCCTCAAGAGCAGTTTAAAAGATTACTGGAAGGTCTAGCTCATTGGGGCAAATTTGAATCCTTGAGGGAAGACTGAGAACTTGAGGACAAGAAGGACCCCTGCATGTTTGAGGGTTTTTTTCCTGGCATGAACATCAGTACTTTTGTTTGGTGATTGTTATACACTTCTCTTACAACTTTTTCCTACTCCCAAAAATATTTTTTGGGCCACAGTTGCTATGGAATACTTCAGAAACGGGAGCCTCCCATGTATTACATCACCAGTCTCTCATCATTATGCATGAAAACCTTTTCTCTAGAATTCTTAACGTAACATTATCCAGCTGTTACAGGTTTCCACATGCGTGTAAGCAAGGAGGACTGGTTTGAGGAGCATGTAAGCAATGGTGCTTGTTTCTATGGTAACCAGAGGTGGAGCAAACAGAAACAACAGAGCTGTCAAAACAAAAACATTCTCTGATTTTCCAGGAGTAGATGTTACAATAACAGTCGTGATGAATCATAAAAACACTCACTGACAACAAAACCTGTATTGGGAATAGACATGCAAACATTAAAGGTGTGGAAAAGTTGTTTAGTCAATATATTTGCAGTGGTCTCTAGTAGTAATGAATGCTTTGGTAGTCGCGCTCTCAGGGGTGGGGGACTCAGATGCGCTTTATTCAGGAAGTAGAAGTGAGCTGGAGGACGCCAGGATTTGTAGTCTTATCTCCTGATATTTGAACATCTCACCAGTGATTGGATAACCAACTACCAATGACTCCGTTTGCAATGTTGATGTTTTAACTCCACAAATAACACAAGAATGGAAGAGTTCTGCTGTGTGGTGGTGTTGCTAATGCTAACAGTTTCTACCAAGACGTTCTCTGCCGTTTCCTGGACGCTAACCCAACAACATCCTTCTCCGTCGTGAGCTGAGATGGGAGAGTCCATGAATGTTAAGTGACTGTGTGATGTAGATATGTCAGGATTTTCAAATCCTCGAGTTTCACCGTCTATTTTCTATTATCAGAAGCTAATGCAGGAGATAGATTTAGACTATTTTCATGTTCAGCCTGCATGAAGAACTCTGTGACTGATTCTACTCAGAAATGGGTTTTCAATGTTCCACACCTTTAATACTTTTAGGTTAACACAAAAATGCCCTAAGGAATAATAGTCGACTTAAAACAACACAATGAATGTTCATTTCCTTTTATGATAGTTAAATATATATTTTATTAAAATAGAACGATTCTTTTCAAACAGGGTTTTGCATTCTTAATGACAGACAGATACAATAAGTTAATTACCAGTCTCAGTTACATACCACATCAGTAAATTAATTTAAAAGAATGCTAAAAAGATAAAAATAAAGAACAAATACAAATTTGTTATGACACAAACTGCTCATGTTATCAGAGCGGTAGGCATGGCAAGACAAGGCAGCTTTATTTATAGAACACCATTCATAAATGGAGGCAATTGAATGTGCTTAACCTCCACTAGTGGTAATGGGTCTGCGCTCTCATAGCCAGCACTTGTAGTGAAGATTATACAAACGTAACGTTCCATTCTAAAAATCTCATAAGGACAGATTCGACACTGGTGGTTTTTCCCTGTGAAAACTACATTAGTTCTGTGCTTACAAACATTCATTAGTAGGAGCTGGATATATGAATTCATGTTAAATCAGACTGAGAAACAAATCACTCCAGAAAAAGATCAGCAAAATAAATCCTTCAGTCAGCTTCTGTATTGCAGTTTGGTCCTTTGCAAGCAACAAAGACTAAAATTTGTAAATAATGTTTTCTCCTGTTTGATCTCTAATTGAATGAGTTATTTGTTTGCTTCGGAGTCGGCTTGTGTGGGCACACCTGTTCACAGGTACGAGTTGCTGCAGTTAGGGTTACGTTAGGAGCCTTTTAAGTTATCAAAAGGGAATGTGCTGATCCATTTCTGCGTGCGTTCTAGACACTGATCCCAATCATAGAGGGGTTGGTACTGGAAATATCTCTGAGCTTTGTCCGTTTTCACAGTGAAGGTGGTACTGGCCACAGCCAGGGTGTACCGGTTCAGCAGCGGGGTGTAGTTGTACACTGGCTTAAGTATCCAGCGGAGAAAGTCATTAAACATGGCCAGAAACCAAAGTATCACGAGAGGCATGCAGACCTTTCTGAAATTAAATTCAGAGAGCAGCTTCATATTGAACTCCTCGTAGCTTTTGTAGGGCGAGTCGTCGTAGCAGAAGAAAGCTTCACCTCCAACTTTCTGAGGGTTGTCCCTAAGAGCCCGAGCTGCAAGTACATGCATCCAGGCAACATTACCTAGAGACAGGAAGAAGGAGAAAGATAAATTGGGCGAAGGATGAGACTGTTTGAAGAAACATAAACATAAAAATAAAATAAAACATCTAAAAATGTTTTTTCAGTCAGTCACACCTTTAATGACCTGCAGGGTTTATATCAGGTTTTATGAGGGTGATAACAGTGCAAAACTCTCAAAGATCTCTTAAGGGACTGTGACAAAAGTATCTTAAGAAAATTAAATGATTTTTTTTTGTTGTTTTGCATTTAACAAAAATTTTCTTACATTATGTAACATTTTATCTCGGATATCTTTGCTTTCATTGGAGACGAGATCTGAAGATGGATTCTTGGGCCTTGTCCTAAAACTAATCTGCTTAATATTAAAAAGTACTTTACCTGCATATACTCTCCCATGTTCAATGTGGTTTGGGATGCCCCCGATAATCAAGCCTCCCCTTTCAGCTCCCTGTTTGTAGAAGTCCTTCATCAGCTGGTGTCCTTCTCCGTAGATCCCTGTTGGCCTCAGCGAGCAGGTGTATAAACACTTTCCACCTTTCACCTAGAGAACAGCCAAAACAAAGAGTGAGCATTGGAAATACGGTCAAAGGCCAAAAAATGGTATTTAAGGAAAAAAGAAAAAAGAAAACCAACACTGAATGGGTCAACGCGAAGATGTAATAGAAGTTAATAAACAGCAAATAGAACACCACAGCAAGGCAACAAAGGGGGGTGATCCAGATTTTCTGCAGATGAGTTGCACAAGAAAAGTCCCACCCAGTGTTTTAAATGCCGAAACCCATTTATTCACTCGACAGCCATAAAACTATCTGCTGCTTTTACATTTTTCCTTCAGGTTTAGGGAACAAATGGTGCAAAAGTATTATAATCATATATCAAGTAAAATAGTTGGAAAAAAACACTTTGACAACATTTGCTAATGAAATATGTCTCACTCAAAAATGTTGTCAAAGTTTTTGGTGTGTTGAAATTCTAATTCCATCTTTTAGTTCTTTTTAAAACACAGAAAGGTTTTATTTACCTGCAACGTTTCGTTTGCGGCTGGTAGCCGCAAACGAAACGTTGCAGGTAAATAAAACCTGTGTTTTAAAAAGAACTAAACGATGGAATGTTGTCACAGCATTTGCAGCACAAGTGAACAAAAACAACAACAACAAAAAAAAAAACATATATCTAGTCAGATTATTGTTAGGAAACAGTCTTACTGGGGTGCCATTAGCTTCCAGGACCAGATTCTCTGCCTTGGTCTTGCTTTTAGGATAAGCCATTGTGTGTTTCACCTGGTACGGCGTGTCTTCATTGCCTCTGTAAAAAAGGAATTCAAACATAAAACATCAATATCAATTACATTTCAAATCAACATGTCTCTCGTCCAGATGGGCGCTACTGAGAAGTTAGCAGCCTCGTTTTCAGAGAAAAACAAATCTGATTCATCCGTGGAGTTACTCGTGAAAACAAGCAGACTGTTTGTTTTTTTTTTAACCTCCAACCTGTATGACAAGATTCCAATCCGTTTAAAACTATATCCAACCACAGCAGCAGCAAAACAAAACAGGAGACAGATGGGATGATAACAGAGTCACGAGAACGAAAAACAGCTTCGAGTTTCCCTTGCTTTCTTTTAAAAAGTTATCTCATCCTCATTTCTCCAGTCAAAATAAGATGCATCTCCAAAACAAGTGAACTCATTCCTTCATCACGAGCTGACAATTTACTGTTAACCAGATCAGAGTCGTAAAAATGCTGCTGTAGCAGACTGCACAAATGAGACGCAGCACAGCAGTTTAATGTCTGAGGCTACAATTACATCGTTTCTACTTTTTTAGCAGCACTAGTGGTGTCCTGCCGTTTACGAAAGCCCGACTGAAGCTCCATGCCATTTATCACAGATAAGGTAGCATTCGCCCCAGTCAAAGCCCCATAAGTCATGAAATTTGTGTTACAGCAGGTTTAGCTTGTATGATAAATGCAATTGCACAATGATCATCAGGATCCAGGCTGCAAGTGATGGAAGGCTAGGCTAAGGCTAGCAGGGATCCATGCTCTACCTCAGACGAGTATGTTGTAGTGAATGCTATGATCACAGTGAATTATATCATAGAAACAGAAAAAGACAGTGCTACGCTTAAAAATGCAGATGTGATAAGTGGACTCATAGAGCAGCAAGATGATTTAAAAATGCACCTCATGTTTGCTGAGAACTAGAACAAGAAGAGAACTCTTCATATTTTATCAATAACTACAACAAAGTCTGGTGTGAAGGACAACATGAGCAAAGTGATTGTGTTTGAATCTCACCATCAGAGAACAAGGTTTCATGTGCACCACAGGATCACACAATGGAGGCTGGTGTGTTACCAGATTATCAGAATCCATTTCAGTTCTACTTTTTATAGCCTTCCTTAATTTCGGTTTGTGGCTACACAGACATTCTGCTCATATCATCTACCTATTTACACAGCTCGCATTAAAAACACAGGAGAAGTTCAAATAACTTCATTTTTTTTGTAATCCCCAGATGGGAAATTGTTTCGCATCTTAAAACATAACAAAACATCTTTGGTTCAGCTCCTATCTTGAAGTTAAATCTTGATGCCATCAGAACAAAATGCAATCTTAAATGAACATCAGCATGACTTGCAAAAGTTCTATTATAAACCAAAACATAGAAGTGTGGGCCATTCCCTCCCACTGTCCTAATGGGTGTGACCCCGCAAGGAAAGTTGACCATTGAGCAGGGTTGATGGTTTATCCCTTGGGTCCATGTGGCAGGGGTGAGGAGTGAGCACCACCTCACCCCTGCCACGTGGACCTCAAGGGATAAGCCATCAATCCTGCTCAATGATCAACTTTCCTTGCGGGGTCACCCATAAAGACAGTGGGAGGGTTAATGGGAACAGGAAACACTCATCACTGTGTCTCAGCTCTGGGGATTGTATTTTTATGTTGTTGTTTTTTTTTTGCCTTTTGTTAACTGCTTTAATTTCAGAAATAACGTGAGCTGCTGCCGATACAATTACTGCGAACACAAAACCAGGATAAGCCATAATCTTGAAGGAGATACATCCCTCTGGTATTCTGTCAACACGAACATCAAAGACGTTGCATTTTAGAGAAAACACTCATGCGATGAGTTTATTATAAATAATGCCTTTTGATAACAACGCACAGCAACAAGGGTGTTTTAGTTGAAGTGGTTTTCAGGGTGAAGTGAGACACAAAGGCTTTAAGACATTGAAAGACTGACTCTAGAAGCTGCTACTTTTAGCTGCATTCATTTACAGGTCTATTGACTATATTCAAATCAGATCTTGTCTGCACACCGATTACCCATCAATCAACTCCATTGTCTTTTGAATTAAGTTTGTTTGAATTGGGACGTTCCCCTCCATTGTTATGTGCACTCATTTACCGTCCACCACCCTATAACAAGGATTTTCTTAATGAATTTGCAAACTTCCTGGCAGACGTCTCCTGCAGATATGGAAAAATACTCTTGCTAGGTGATTTTAATATTCATGTCTGCTGTCCTGACAAACCTTTGGTAAAGGATTTCTTAGATCTTATTGACTCATTTAGCATGTCCCAACGTGTTAATGGACCCACTCATGGTCATACACACACACTAGACCTGATTTTTTGTCATGGGCTGCAAATTAGTGATCTTGGCATTCTACCTGCAACTTTTTCTGATCACTCACCAGTTGTGTTTAATATGAACTTAGACTCTGCCTCTCGTGTTGAGTGTTTCCGTCCCCGCTTCTCTCGAACAATCGGACCCAATACTGCTGCACATTTTGCTGCTATTCTTGCTTTGAATTCAGCTCCATTTCAATCTACTGATGAATTTACTGTTGTTGAGGGATTACTTCATGCGCTTGATTCATCCTGTCTGGCTGCTTTGGATATTGTCGCTCCATTAAAATCAAGGCGAAATACATCCCGACCTGACCCATGGCTGAACGAGCAAACTCGTTCCATGAGACAACATGCCAGAAGACTGGAACGTAAATGGATAAAAGACAGGCTTACTGTATCCTTTGAATCCATGAGAGAGGCGTGGTCTCGGTACCAAAGAGCAGTCAGAGGCGCAAGAAATCGATTTTTTGCAAGCATCGTAACGGCTAATTCTAATAATCAAGGTGTGTTATATAAAACTATGAATGCAGTGCTTTCACCAGTTACAAAACTATTTTCCTCTGCGTCTGCTGACTTGTGTAACCAAATCCTGCAGTTTTTCTTAAATAAGATTAGTGTAATCAGAGCTCAGATTCACCAAACCAACCATGTTCCTGATTCAGTCATTCCCCCTCATGTGCAACTTCAAAGCTTTCAGCCCATCTCTCTGCCCTATCTAGAAAAAACTGTTGCTGCCATGAAACCGTCTGGCTCCCCAGAAGATGTTATCCCACCTCGTCTCCTGAAAGAGGTTTTTCCTTTCATTAGCCATAATGTGCTAGACATCTTAAATAGTAGCTTGACATTGGCTGAAGTTCCTTCTGCCTTTAAACACGCCGTTCTTCAGCCAATCTTGAAAAAACCTGGTCTCGACCCCACTGATTACTCTAATCTCCGACCAATTTCCAAATTACCGTTTTTATCTAAGGTCCTTGAGAAAATAGTGTATGAACAGATGCTGACACATCTAAATGACAATCAGGTAATGGACATTTTTCAGTCTGGTTTCAGAAAACAGCACAGCACTGAAACTGCTCATGTTCGGGTGTTTAATGACATTTTTCTCGCTTTAGATTCAGGTTTCCATGTGGTTCTGCTACTTTTGGATCTATCAGCAGCATTTGACACGATCGATCATAACATCTTGATCACCAGACTTCAGACTTGGGCTGGCATTTCTGGTTCAGCCCTAGATTGGTTCAGGTCATACTTTTATAACAGGTCCGCTAGAGTCATGTTGGATGGCTGTTCATCCGAGTCACAACCACTCCGTTGGGGTGTCCCACAAGGTTCAATACTCGGCCCGTTACTATTTAACCTCTATATACTGCCCTTAGGAGCCATTTTCAGAAGGCACGCTGTCTCATACCATCTTTACGCTGATGACTGTCAGATCTACTTTTCATTCAAGCCAACTCAATCAATGCAAGTTCTGTCTGATTGTATCGATAATGTTAAGCTTTGGCTTGCTGATAACTTCCTCCATCTGAATGACTCCAAAACAGAAGTAATCGTTTTTAATCCTCACAGCATCCCGGCTACTCATCAACCTGACCTCAACTATCTCTCACCTAATGTCTCCACTGTAATTTCCAACCTTGGAGTTAAAATAGACCAGGCTCTGAAGATGGATGCTCAGGTCAATAACACAGTTAAATCATGTTTTTACCACCTCAGGCGTATCTCTAAACTTAAGCACATCCTGAGTGTCCGTCTTCTCAAATCAGTAGTCCACACTTTCATCACTTCACGGCTGGATTACTCCAACTCCTGCTTATACGGCATCAGTAAAGCAGCTCAATCTAGACTTCAGCTAGTCCAGAATTCAGCAGCTAGGTTCCTGACTGGAGTTGACAGAAGACAGCACATTACACCAATTCTAAAATCTCTCCACTGGTTGCCCGTTCATCTCAGGATCAATTTCAAAATCATGCTGCTCACTTATAAATCCCTGAACAGTCAAGCTCCTCCATATCTGTGTCAACTCGTCCATTACTACAATCCGCCTCGTGCTCTCAGGTCTGAAGATAAGCTCCTCCTAGCTCTTCCTAACGCACGTCTGAAAAGCCGTGGAGAAAGGGCTTTCTCTGTCTGTGCTCCCAAGCTGTGGAATGCATTACCACTACTAGTGAGGCAAGCACCAACAATTAGCATTTTTAAATCTCGCATGAAAACTCACTACTTCAACCTTGCATATAATACATAATCATGGACCACTTTCGACATCTGCATTCTTTCTACAATAGAATGCACAATAATTAACATCTGTATTACTGTGGTTCTTTCATATGTTTTTATCTGTTGTTTCACATTCCTTTGTGTTTTTAGTGTTTTACGACTGTTAGTTCGAGTATTTTCTTGTTTTCATTTTTTCTTATAAACTATGCTTTAAATGTCATTCTGAACGTGTTAATTAACTGTAATCTTTTAATGTACAGCGCCTTGTCTGGTTGTAATGCCATGTTGAATGCGCTTTATAAATAAAATGGTATGGTATGGTATGGTATGGTATGGTATTTACCTTTAACCCTCCCACTGTCTTTATGGGTGACCCCACGAGGAAAGTTGACCATTGAGCAGGATTGATGGTTTATCCCTTGAGGTCCACGTGGCAGGGGTGAGGTGGTGCTCACTCCTCTCCTCTGCCACATGAACCCAAGGGATAAACCATCAACCCTGCTCAATGGTCAACTTTCCTCGCGGGGTCACACCCATTAGGACAGTGGGAGGGTTAAATTTGTTTTGTCAAATGGAATTTGAAACTTTTTAAGTTAGTACTAGGCAGGGTTTCCCTTACATAGGCGTAGCCGTGGCGGGCCGCCACGGCTGAAATCCCACCGCCACGCCTACAACATCCCAAGTTTTATTGATGTTTTTTTTTTTTTTGCGCGGTTTCCCGAAGAAGCAGCAGGAACTACTGTGTTGTTGCTTGTGATCACAGCAGGCAGGTAGCAAGGAGGAGGAGGCACGGCAGGGTGGTTACAGCTATGAGCGTACGGATAAAGCATTTTTGACGAATACGAGCAAGAAACGAGTGTAAAACTCGAAAATATCCGTAATCGTACTGAATGAAATCCTCATTGGGTAACTGACTGTCTTCACGCTCTGTGATTGGCCAGTCAGATAGAGCGCCCGCCCCTCCCTACACACAAAACTGCAGCCGGGAGCTCCGTCAGCTCGGTCCAGGGGGCACCAACGCACACACACAGACAGTAAAGCCGGGCGGACACTGTGTGACTTTTTCACTTTTTTGAGCAGATTTTCCACTCGTGCGAGAATCCACAAGATCGGGGCGAGTTTTGCGCTGAGCGTCGTGTAGTGTACTGGGGGGTTACGAGAGGCGATTAACACCACGTGACCAGCTACCAATCAGCAATCGTGAGCTCGCACGGACTTCTGGAGTGTTTAATATTTATCTCGTTCCTCATGAGGGTTGAAGCGGCGCTGCGAGCGGCTGCGACCCAAAAAGTACCAGAACCGCTCACGGCGCATTCGCCATCCTCAGTGGCGGAGCTTGATATGTGCAACATGTGCGGCCGAACAGGGCGGCAGTCTGGAGGGGGCGGCATTTAATTTCTTTTATTTTTTTTAATTATTTTTTAAATTTTATTTATTTTTTCTTCCATCAACCAATACATCAACAAAACATAGAAATCACATGTTCTTCATAATAATAATAGTGATGAGTGGTGATGATAATAATAATATTTCTGTAATAAAAGCACAACAAAGTCATTGTTTGCATTTATATTGGGATTTTATGGCGCCCCCTTGTGTCCGCCGCGCCTCTGTAGTGCGCTCTATAGCGCCCTTCATCAGGTGGGGGGCGGAGGGATCTCGGAGAGTGATGATGGAGGGATACAGGTACCGTTTCACATATCACCACTCACAAACATAATGGAGAAGAAGCGGTCGAAGCCATCTGGTGCCCAATTTCGGAAAAAAAGAAAAGAAGAGGAGGAGAAACGAGGAAAAGATGCAGGTATGCGTCTCTTTATTATTTAGTTGGTATTCTTCCCGCCTGTCCCCCAACTTATTGATTAACTAACCTCTCTAATCTGAACGTTTTGCATGGTGCTATGATGATCCCTTCAAATGTCTTTTGCTAGCTTCTTACGTTGCATGTATTTAGAATTACTTCCAACCGCTAGCTTTTTCTTTGTCAAATGAGCTTTTATGAAAAGCTAAGAGTGGAAAACCGAAAGGCTGATAACCAAACGCTATCAAATTAAAATGAGTCTTTGAGAATTTTGCTGAAATACATTGACGGCGGGCGGCAGGTCTCGCGCCGGCGCCATTCGCCTTTCTATTTGGACTGGGGAAATGAGCTACGTATTATTTACCCCACGAAAAACGGAGCGGCAGCTGGCCGCTGGAGGTGCCCTGCTAATAAGATCCCGTTTATACTGTAAACTGCCATAAAATATAAACTATAATAGCCAGAGCGGTCTTTTTTTAGCTGAAAGTTCAGACTGTCTCGCCTTTCAGCACCGTACAAGTCGATGATGTCATCGTGTTGCGTTAAGTGTGCTGCACACTGCGGCTATGTTAACTCACAGTGACCTTGAAGCAGTGTGGGAGAGTTGAAGAATTTAACCAGTTAAAATGGATTCATGGATATTTAATCAATAGTTGTGGCTCCTCTGGTCATTTAGTTCTTTGTGTGCCGGAGACATTTGCTGAATAAGGAAATAAAAACTTAAAATGACAAAAAATTAGGGAAAACACTTGTTTTGTATTTTATCAATTATTAATGAATAATAGATTGTTGGTGTTTTAACTTTTGGTAAAGGAAAACACACAATTTCCAGGCAGCCCCAGTCTGGAGAAGTGATGGTGACATCAGCCGTTAAAAATAAATAATACTCTTAGGTTTTTATGAATAATTTGTACTTTTACTTGAGTATTTCTCTAACACCAGTACTTTTACTTGTAAATGAGTAATATTTTAGCAATGTAACAGTACTTGTACTTGAGTACAGATTTTCAGAATTCTTTCCACCACTGCTGAAAACTGTAAATGCTCATTGTAACATGTTAATTAAAATGCTAAAACAACAGACGTGACATGAAGATTGTATTGCTTGTTTTATGCAACATCAGGAGCCCTACACAGATATTTTGGGATGACATCAGCTGCCACTGAGGAACAGCCATCTACCTCCACTGCTCATACCAGTAGGCCAGGATTTGAACTCGAGGAGGGACAGTCTGCAGGCACCACATCTCCCCAGGAAGATACTTTAGGTGGGTTTTGCACACGTGTGTGTGTGTGTCCAGCAAACATTTAGCTATAGACATTTAAATAGTATTTTCACAGAATATGGGAATTGTTCCATATAGCAATGTGGTGAGTTATGCTTCCATTTTCTGTCCATAGAGAGACCTACCAGTATATGTGAACTTGATGAGGGACAGCCAGCTGCCACATCTCCCCAACAAGATATGTCAGGTAAGTTTTGCACAAGTGTGTGTGTGTGTGTGTGTGTGTCCTGCAAACATTAGAGAAATTTGAATGTCACATATTGTATTTTAATAGAATATGTGAAATGGTCCACATAGCAATGTGTTGAGTTACGCTTCTGTTTTCTGTCAATAGAGAAGCCTGAACGATCAACCAATGAGTCCCATTGAAGGTGATGATGAGCCTCTTTCTTCAGACCCAGCCAAGTGGCCATCACCAATTACCGACAGCATACGCACAGAGCTAGTTCGAGGAGGACCTACCAAGGTGCCAACTACTTTCATATTTCCCAGGAATGAAGGCGATGGCAGGTGTTGTCATCATCACTATTTCAGTAGAACTTTGACAATTGGTGAGAAGGTGGCCAGGAGCTGGATGTTGTATTCAGTTAGCAAACATTGTTACATATAATACACTCCACGCAATTTGAAACAAAGTTGTAGGTGTAATTTTTTTTTCGTGTGTGTGTGTGGGGGGGGGGGTCGCGGGGGATCTCGCACAGGGCGCCATTTAGGCCAGCTCCGCCTCTGGCCATCCTGCATCAACTCCGCTCACCCGCTATTTCCCTAATAACACAAGCTGTTCGTTTTTGTTTCTACACGTTTTTTTACTCACAAAGATTGTCAAGAAAGCGTGTTTGTCGTGTTCATGTCAAATTAAACTGATCACAAAACACAGATTTACTTTCTTTATTTCGTTTCCTCATCCAACCCCCATAAATCCCCGTGTGTCCTCCTGCAGCACTCCCGAAGGACAACAGGCAAAACAAGACAAAAAAGTCTGACGTGTTGTGTAAAAACTGCTATTTTTAGCATATTTTAGGTCCGACCTGTTGCTACCAGACGTACAGTGTGAGCACATGACTCGTGAGATCTACCCTGCGCTGAAGTCGTACAGTTTGAGCTGAAGCTGTGTTACGAGTGAAAAAGTCGCACAGTGTCCGCCCAGCTAATTATAATGTTCACTGTAATGCATCTTGATGTTCTTAACAAATAAATTAAATCAAAGATATTGGTCAATAATGCCAAATATGTAAATTTGTGTTTCAGTCCTTTTTATACTGGCTTAAAAATACTTCATTAAGTCTACTAAGCAGGGGTGTAGAACGTGTTTAATAGGGCCAGCCCAGTAATGATCTTGGACCAAAATAAAGGGGGCAGAGAGTCAAATAAAGGGGGCAAAAGAAGATGTTTTTCCAGATGCCAAGAAAAATTAAATGCCAAATCCCCCCTGCAAAGTGTGTCACTGAGAGTTTAAAACAGAAATTATTATTGTGCAAATATTGGTGTACTCACCTTTAATACTAGTTATTACAATGCAGCAGTCGCTGGATTGGTGCAGTTCAAAGTGGAGTGCATCAAATAAAACAATATTAACATAAAGGTGAGACGTGTCATAACCCCCCCCCCCCCCCCCCCCCCCCCCCCGCCAACAACAACACCACCACAGCTGGAAAAATTCCTAGGGGAAACACTGCTAGGGATGTGTATTGGTGAAATTCTGGCGATGCGATATGTATCACGATACAGGGGAGACGATACAATATATTGCGATACATTGATTCAGATGTTATTAGCGATTTTTTGACTGAATTTATTGAAGGAATATTCAATAAACAGTTCAAACTGATACTTAACATGTTTAACCTGAGGTACCTTAACCATAATAGAGGGATTGACATTTCAATGGTGGAAACAAAACCCATTGAAAACCGCTGCTAACTAGCGGTCAGCGTTTGAATTGAGAAAAGATAAGAAAATACACAAATGTTTGCATGTAAATTATTCCAAAATTGGATACACACCTTTCAATAATATCGCAGGAAAAAATATCACGATATATTGCCATATCGATATTTTCTTACATCCCTCGTTAATATAATTTCATGCTTCCACAGGAAAAGAAACTAACAAAGTCAAAGCCTTTCTTACACTAGCTGTCTAAATCAGTATCATGTGGGGTTTGTTTGGAGAGCTTTGTGACAACCAACCAGTTTGTTGGTTAGCAGAAAAATAAGAGCATGTAAGTAGAGTTGGGCAGAATTCCCACACATGAAGACAGAATGGCGTTTTATCTTGGTTTTACCTCTTAAAGTGATCCCCGTTGCTGTTTGGTCCAATCACTTCCATGCTGCTGGTGTAGACGAGGCGCTCAACCCCACATTCCACGCACGCACTGATCACATTCTCCGTCCCTGAGAGGACAGAACAGACTTTATTAGGGGACAGATGTTTTTCTTCAAAAGCCACGTGGAGGAGTTTTACTGAGACGGGTGCCTTCTGTCTTTTCATGGATTGGTGAATCAAAACAAAGTTTAAAATACTTTCAAAACAGTCCAAGTTTTAAGAGTTAAATAAACACACAGTTACATACTGACTTGGATGGGTTCACCTGGGTGCACGAAGATAATCTAAACATATCTACCAAAAACAAATGAGGCATTGCATCCATGTGGGATCCCTTTGGTAAATGAGAAGCGTATTATTCCTTTACTCTGAATAAATCTGGACTTTATTAATAACAGTGAACATAAGTGGCCTTGCAAACTGGAAAATATGAAAGAGGAACAATAAACCACAGTTTACTCTTCAACTTCTGGGATGTCTGTGGCCAATCCACCACAAACATTTCAAGAAGTCAAGAATGTCAAAATATCTAATAAAGCAAATGTGGTAAGGTGTCCAGCAGTCATCAGAGTTCATGTTGGAAAACGTATGTAAAGAAAAGGCTGAACCTTTAACCACCTAGAAGGAGTTTAAGACGATTCTTACCATACCATACCATACCATTTTATTTATAAAGCGCATTCAACATGGCATTACAACCAGACAAGGCGCTGTACATTAAAAGATTACAGTTAATTAACACGTTCAGAATGACATTTAAAGCATAGTTTATAAGAAAAAATGAAAACAAGAAAATACTCGAACTAACAGTCGTAAAACACTAAAAACAACAAAGGAATGTGAAACAACAGATAAAAACATATGAAAGAACCACAGTAATACAGATGTTAATTATTGTGCATTCTATTGTAGAAAGAATGCAGATGTCGAAAGTGGTCCATGATTATGTATTATATGCAAGGTTGAAGTAGTGAGTTTTCATGCGAGATTTAAAAATGCTAATTGTTGGTGCTTGCCTCACTAGTAGCGGTAATGCATTCCACAGCTTGGGAGCACAGACAGAGAAAGCCCTTTCTCCACGGCTTTTCAGACGTGCGTTTGGAAGAGCTAGGAGGAGCTTATCCTCAGACCTGAGAGCACGAGGCGGATTGTAGTAATGGACGAGTTGACACAGATATGGAGGAGCTTGACTGTTCAGGGATTTATAAGTGAGCAGCATGATTTTGAAATTGATCCTGAGATGAACGGGCAACCAGTGGAGAGATTTTAGAATTGGTGTAATGTGCTGTCTTCTGTCAACTCCAGTCAGGAACCTAGCTGCTGAATTCTGGACTAGCTGAAGTCTAGATTGAGCTGCTTTACTGATGCCGTATAAGCAGGAGTTGGAGTAATCCAGCCGTGAAGTGATGAAAGTGTGGACTACTGATTTGAGAAGACGGACACTCAGGATGTGCTTAAGTTTAGAGATACGCCTGAGGTGGTAAAAACATGATTTAACTGTGTTATTGACCTGAGCATCCATCTTCAGAGCCTGGTCTATTTTAACTCCAAGGTTGGAAATTACAGTGGAGACATTAGGTGAGAGATAGTTGAGGTCAGGTTGATGAGTAGCCGGGATGCTGTGAGGATTAAAAACGATTACTTCTGTTTTGGAGTCATTCAGATGGAGGAAGTTATCAGCAAGCCAAAGCTTAACATTATTGATACAATCAGACAGAACTTGCATTGATTGAGTTGGCTTGAATGAAAAGTAGATCTGACAGTCATCAGCGTAAAGATGGTATGAGACAGCGTGCCTTCTGAAAATGGCTCCTAAGGGCAGTATATAGAGGTTAAATAGTAACGGGCCGAGTATTGAACCTTGTGGGACACCCCAACGGAGTGGTTGTGACTCGGATGAACAGCCATCCAACATGACTCTAGCGGACCTGTTATAAAAGTATGACCTGAACCAATCTAGGGCTGAACCAGAAATGCCAGCCCAAGTCTGAAGTCTGGTGATCAAGATGTTATGATCGATCGTGTCAAATGCTGCTGATAGATCCAAAAGTAGCAGAACCACATGGAAACCTGAATCTAAAGCGAGAAAAATGTCATTAAACACCCGAACATGAGCAGTTTCAGTGCTGTGCTGTTTTCTGAAACCAGACTGAAAAATGTCCATTACCTGATTGTCATTTAGATGTGTCAGCATCTGTTCATACACTATTTTCTCAAGGACCTTAGATAAAAACGGTAATTTGGAAATTGGTCGGAGATTAGAGTAATCAGTGGGGTCGAGACCAGGTTTTTTCAAGATTGGCTGAAGAACTGCGTGTTTAAAGGCAGAAGGAACTTCAGCCAATGTCAAGCTACTATTTAAGATGTCTAGCACATTATGGCTAATGAAAGGAAAAACCTCTTTCAGGAGACGAGGTGGGAAAACATCTTCTGGGGAGCCAGACGGTTTCATGGCAGCAACAGTTTTTTCTAGATAGGGCAGAGAGATGGGCTGAAAGCTTTGAAGTTGCACATGAGGGGGAATGACTGAATCAGGAACATGGTTGGTTTGGTGAATCTGAGCTCTGATTACACTAATCTTATTTAAGAAAAACTGCAGGATTTGGTTACACAAGTCAGCAGACGCAGAGGAAAATAGTTTTGTAACTGGTGAAAGCACTGCATTCATAGTTTTATATAACACACCTTGATTATTAGAATTAGCCGTTACGATGCTTGCAAAAAATCGATTTCTTGCGCCTCTGACTGCTCTTTGGTACCGAGACCACGCCTCTCTCATGGATTCAAAGGATACAGTAAGCCTGTCTTTTATCCATTTACGTTCCAGTCTTCTGGCATGTTGTCTCATGGAACGAGTTTGCTCGTTCAGCCATGGGTCAGGTCGGGATGTATTTCGCCTTGATTTTAATGGAGCGACAATATCCAAAGCAGCCAGACAGGATGAATCAAGCGCATGAAGTAATCCCTCAACAACAGTAAATTCATCAGTAGATTGAAATGGAGCTGAATTCAAAGCAAGAATAGCAGCAAAATGTGCAGCAGTATTGGGTCCGATTGTTCGAGAGAAGCTGGGACGGAAACACTCAACACGAGAGGCAGAGTCTAAGTTCATATTAAACACAACTGGTGAGTGATCAGAAAAAGTTGCAGGTAGAATGCCAAGATCACTAATTTGCAGGCCATGACAAAAAATCAGGTCTAGTGTGTGTGTATGACCATGAGTGGGTCCATTAACACGTTGGGACATGCTAAATGAGTCAATAAGATCTAAGAAATCCTTTACCAAAGGTTTGTCAGGACAGCAGACATGAATATTAAAATCACCCAGCAAGAGTATTTTTCCATATCTGCAGGAGACGTCTGCCAGGAAGTTTGCAAATTCATTAAGAAAATCCTTGTTATAGGGTGGTGGACGGTAAATGAGTGCACATAACAATGGAGGGCAACGTCCCAATTCAAACAAACTTAATTCAAAAGACAATGGAGTTGAGTGATGGGTAATCGGTGTGCAGACAAGATCTGATTTGAATATAGTCAATAGACCTCCGCCCCGGCGCTGTGCTCTTGGAATGTTAATGAAGGAGCATCCAGGAGGTAACATTTCAACAATAGCAGCTGAATCTCCAGGGGTTAACCATGATTCAGTGGCGCATAGAACAGACAAACTATTGTTCAGGAAGAATTCCTTCAGAATAAAAGTTTTATTTGCAACCGATCTGGCATTGATCAGTGCAAAGCGAGTCGACTGCTTTCCCGATGGAAGGGAAAGTCCGGCTCCATCAAATCTTGCAATATACTGTAGGTTGGCCAGATTTATTCCCCGCTGATTGTGCCGTCCAAAACGAGAGCGGCGAAAACGAGAGCGGGAGGGCAACCCGGTGGAACCCAAAGAAACAACAGGCACCAAGCACCCACCTCGAGCATCAGGGGAACTCCGAAAGCACCGCTCCTTTCCCCATACGCAGTAATCTGATGTGATTAGGCGATCTCCACATCTCCCCCGATTGTGTGCCGCAAGCTGGTCAGCAGCGGTCGGCCGCCGGATCATCCTCGGTTCCGAAGCACGCATACAGCGCTTGGCTCCGTGAGCTCCCAGCTGGAGAATCATCCCCACATCCCACGCACTCGCGCAGCTCTCAGCTCCGTGAGCTCCCAACTGGCCGGTCATCCACACCTCAGACACATCCATGTAACATTCAGCTCCATGTCCTCCCGGTAGCAGCGAGATCAGCTCGACTCGATTGAGATGCCGATGGATCCGGGACATCACAGTCACGGAGCAGCGCTCCGATATGGCTTCGCCACGCCGGATCCTTCGGAGCTGAACAAAGAAGCCGCCTCGTTTCCCCCGCTTCTTTTTCCACGGTCTCCGGGGCAGCGGCAAACCGACGGGCAGCACAAGCCCGGAAGCTGGGCTAACGTCAGTCTCCAGCGGCGGTGGGAAAGCGTGGAGCAACACAGGCTCTGCAGCTGGGTTCGCGTCAGTCTCCAGCGGCGGTGGAAAAAGGTGTCCCGCATTAGAGTTCTGAAAATCATCCATTCTAGAGCGGATCGAGAGCAGGAAGTCCCGATCATACACCAGCAGAGAATCGGCACTGCATATGGAAAAAATACAAGAATACAATAGAAAAACAAAAAAGGTTGGGAGCTGAGCAGACACGCAGCCGGTCATGGGCGCCATCTTGGTCCAAAAAAAAAAAAAAAAAAAAATTCTTCATCTGCAGGTGGTTAATGTTGTACCAGTATACCAGATTAGCATTTACCAGAAGGCCCAGAGCCATCTACACGCCTCAGCGGCAACGAGTCCGTTTCAGAGTAGGAGAAAGTCTGAATCATAGCCTGAGATTTAGGAAGGAAAAGGTTAAGGACTAAATATGATTCTGACAGGAAAACCTGTTGAGCCCAGAACAGATGGAACATTTTCACATTCTTTAAATGTTTTGTAAGAGACCAGACTCGGTTCAGGGCCAGAGCCCTCGCTTGTGTCCACACAGGGTAGGAAAAGCATCAACATCCCCATGAAGGAGGTCTGTTGTGATTTGTTTCCATGTGGCTGACTGATTTACTCAAAGGCAGACATCAGCTCAGCTCACAAACAACAACAGTGTTTTTGTTTATTTGTTGAATCACCAGTGCCAAACCTCACCAAGCACAAGCAGCATAAATCCAAACTAACAAAACACTACTACGCCCATTTTGATCACGTTTCTAATAAATGTGGCTTCTTCTGTTTGAACTCAGAGCAGATTGAATTAAAAACACAATAAATATGATGGAATTGTTTCCTATGAACTGATTTACATGCCTTGGCCCGAAACATCTTTGGAACAAAAAAAAAAACTGCAGTATTTCCTGGACACATGTTTTTTTCTCTAAGAATGTTGCTGCATGTGATGCTAAATACTGTGTCTGTCTGTCATTATCAGCGTCTTCTCCGGATACATGGAAGAATAATAGTTTGCTTTGGTTCATTCGTGGAATTTGGAACATCAGCTTTCTGCATCAGTAGACGTGTCAGGATTATTAAACGTTGGGTGTTTAAAGCTCTCTGCACTAAATGCAGACAAACGTCTCCACACATAAACTGTATGAAGCTTTTGTCCAAACTGGATCTATCTCATTTTATCTTTTTAAACGCACATAATAACAACCAAGGACATAAAACACTGCCTTTGAGGTAGTCACTCATTGAAAAAGCCCTGGTGTTATAATAAACATGCTTTATTTAATCTGACTACATTCGCTAATGACTGAATTCATTGTTGGAGCTGTGGCAGCGTGCATGATAGCACGATCATGGCTACGTTCTTGAATTAGGAGGTCATGCTCACAAATGATAACTGGTTCACTTAGGCTTTGCTGGGGGTTGTGTGATCTGATTAACTCATTCACTGCAAGCGTTTCTCACCGTTTTTACTGTTTTTTTAAGTGACAGAACGTTGCGCACTAGGATGATGTCGACGCCAAAACAACCAAAACAAAGTGGAGACTCACCTCTTACATCAGGAAGAATCTGCGCGTTTCGAGCGTTATCCGTTCTTTCATAATCCGTTGTTGAATTGTGATCGGCAGAAGTTTTTCCGGTTCACGCCTCACTTTTTTTACAGCAGCGGCCCAAAACAATCTCCTAACACATGGATGTTCTGCTTCCTGATCACGAAACGTGGGATGTACGCGGATGAAGATTGGCTTTAGAGCTGAGATGTTCTTTCTCACAGTGTGGGGGCTCGTCCGACGCTCACACAGTAAAAAAATACAAATGACGACTTTAGTCGTCATTGGCAGTGAATGAGTTAAACACAAGACTATTTAAAGCACCGTGTGACACGAGCTTCAAAGACATCCATCACACCAAAATAATCAATGCATGTGCTTAGATCATTGGCTGCTTTTAGGCACCCTGCCATGCATGTTTTGAATGTTTCCAGCCTCAGCCCATCTAATTTCAGCTGACTTGTTCTTTTTAAAGCTGGGGAAATAATCACAAGTAACGACTATCTGTTGAGTTAATTAATTGTGAAGAACTGGG